GTATTATACATGGGGGTAAACGGCTACCAACTTTGTTTGAATGAATGACCTTGACCTATATTCAAGAACACAGGGTTCAAATATGTTTAAAACCAAAATTTAACCAACTCCTTAAGTCCAATAATGTAAATGGCTAGTAACCATGCTGGGATCATGGGTTACCAAGTTTGTTCAAATGAAGAATGACCTTTACCCATATTCAAAGTCACAGGGGTAAAATATGTTGAAATCTTAAAACATTACTTCTTCTAAATTACCAAAAGGTCCAGTGTGATGATATATATGCTGGGATGAACGCCAGGTTACCAAGACTTCTCCCAAATAAAAAGATAGCTAGGAAGATGATATTTAGCCAGTAGAATGCTTGGATGAAAGGTTTGAAAAGTTTGTTCAAAAGAATAAAACATAAAACTTTAAATGACTAAATTCTTCTGAATAACCTTGAAATGCAAAGGATGGTGATATGTCACCAGCATGCTCAGATGAAGAGCAATCAAGATTGTTCATGTGAATGACCTTGACACTTTCAAGGTGACATCTGGTCAATTGTGTATAAATCTTTAAAAGTCATCTTCTCAAAGGCAAGTTGCATTATGGAATGAAGGGCTATAAAGTTTGATCAACTTAATGTCCTTGTTCGACTTTCAAGATCACATGGGTCAAATGTGATTTAATTTTTTGGTATGTATTTTTATGACTTTGAGTAAAGACACTGTAGTTTTATTTAGTCCATTTTGTGAGATTAATTCCAGGTGAGCGATGCAGGCCTATTGGGCCTCTTATTACTTCTGATACCTCTACAGAAGTACATGTAAATGTTGCTACCGAGGATTTACTTCCCAGAAATTATATCCCTATTGCGTTTCTACTGAATTTACAATTTGTTAGTTGTTTTGTTTACAGACTTCATTACACAATATTGGAATTTCTTTCCGTTTTATTTGTCGTTCGCCAGTTAGGAAAACCCTAAATACTCACAGCTGATTGGTCACACCCCCAAACCACACGGTTCGCCCTTGACCTTGGGACCTCACACCAGCTGCAGCCTTCACTTATGTCTATCTACCTTGCCGGTCAACATTAGGCCTATCTAACACTGCAGCAATGTCAGCTTCCCTTCTCCGTAGCGTTGTACGCCGAGAGGTAACGAAAGGTTTTATGAGCATGCTTGTTTATCGTTTGGTTATGTCATACATGTGATAACATGACGTTTTATATTTTAATGTTCAGTACCAATTCACATTCTAAAAAACGATTACTGTTATCCTGTTATGAAACAACGGGCTTAGGCTACTGTAGTTACGCGCACGCTGCTTAACGTGGCAACCTACTTTCTCCACTCAAATGTTTTACCTTCAGATTACAGATCTACTGTAGTACTAAAACTTGATTCGACAAAGACAGGTCTGTTAGGATCGCCGTGGGGTGCTAAGGAACTTTTAACAGCATACCGTTGTATAATCAAAGGCATCAGCACGGGTTGTGAATTGGAAAAGTATAACAAAATTAACTACTACATGTACGATTATAAATAAGTCTTATCTTAGGTACATCTTACGTGGGATATGGATATATAATATCAGAAATCGGGAAAAATTAGGCTTTGCCAAGGTTCTGACTCTAAACTTTGCACCTAAAGGTAGAATTCCAATATCCCACATTGGCCTACTTACAATGATTGACTAATTTTCTCCCATCTCATAACCGGAATTTTGACAAAAGTTGACAAAGGCAACACTAAATACAGCCAAATTTAAAAAGTACAAAAGTAATATTTGGAAAGAGCAGTTTGGTTTTATATTGTTTAATGTCCTAAACAGCTAAGGTCATTTAAGGACGTAAGTTTAAAAAATCCTGAGGATGTGTCACTTGCCAAAGGCAAGACTGTCACAGTCAGCCAAACAGTGTTTTGACATACTTTTGATTGTGACGAAATAATAAAACGCTGTCATCTTGATTGTGACGTCATAATAATAAAGGTCCCTGAGTGCATTTGGGATATTCCCACATGAGTGTTCAGTCTGGGACATGTGTACTAGGCCTATCTGACATGCATTGAGGTAGGGGAAAATGCCATAATAGTGATGGCCTATAAAATCTATCATTGCATTTTCAAAGATGTAGCTTCACTTGCTTGTTCTGTTCAGTTCATTTAAGTTTCATTTCAGGCACTAGCAGCCCGGGCAGTATGGCAGTGTTCCAGAGCGTATGCCAGCACAGCGGTAAGATGAGTTTACTCTAGCTAGAGAAAACTTAAATTAGATGCTAATGACTTTTTCGTAGCAGTCTGGACTAATTATAAATCCATTATTAAATTGACCAATATGTTTATCTCTAATTACCTGCTTTAACTGACTGTGCAAGGTGATGCAGGCAGGAAAAGAATTTTAATAGGAATGCTCATCTTGGCAAATAACATTTTGAAAAAGGAAGATGTAGATCCAGACTTTACCTTATAACCATAAGCTCATGGTTAACATTTACATTTTTGAAAATATTGTTTGTAATCAATTGCAAAGTTTATAATAGCAGGTTGTTAAGGACCTATACTACTGTTAGATTACATCTGGATATTTCTTGTGATCCAAGTGTTAATGTTTGTTACTTGAAATATTTTGAATTTGGTTTTCATTTTCTGGGGTTTTTTTGGCAGCCCACAACAAAGAACTACATCAATGGAAAAATGGTGGAGTCCAAAGCTGACAAGTGGATTGATGTGCATAACCCGGTAAGTCTCCTCCATCAATACCTGAAGAGTTACTCCAAAGGGAGGAAATTCAAATTTATTTCACAAACAGATGTTATCACAAAAAAATAGACAAGAAAGTTGTTTCTTTTTATTGACAATAATAATTATATCTGTGGATATATGGTACTTTAATCTGAACTGATGCTGTGGTAGTTATGAACTTTGTTCAGACTTGACTGTTGAAGTATAAATGTACTAAACACC